ACGTCAGAACTGATTTGTAATCAGAGCAGTACTCAAAATTGTTATGAGAAAGGCAGCATAGATTCTAGGGGTTAAATTAAGTATGGCTTTAATAGCTTAAATTTTAAATTTCTTCTATTTAATTTCTGATTGGTGAAAGTTGTACAAGTTGGTGCCTTGTGGATGCTGTCTCTAGTTTTTGTGAAAGTAATGAACTGAAGCGTAGTGATGAGAACATGTGTGTTTGTGTTGAGACAAGACAGTTCAAAAAATAGGAAGAAATGTTCAAGTGCTCCATAAAGTGGAAAAAGGGGAGCCTTCTCTCTTTTATGGATGAGTCATCTTTTTTCATGTTGATAGCACTCCATCACCATGAATGCGTTGAAGAAATTAAATCTTCTACGCGTTGGAGTCTCAGGTTATCAAAGGTGCAGCACAAGCACCATATATCTTCCTTGGCTTACGCAAGAACGTACTCCTATTTTGTTGTTTTATTTGTGGACAGTTTGGTATTACTTTTTTTATGGTTGTTGAAAATAAACTTAATTGAATTATCTTGGGAATTGAGAAGATTATTTAGTTGTTTGAGTAGTCTAATACATGAATATGTAGATGCATAAATGTTGTTGGGAAATTCAAGAGTCTTTGTTAGGAAATCTATGAGTCATTGTAGTAGTATATATATATATATATATATATAGTGTGTGTGTGTGTGTGTGTGTGTGTGTGTGTGTGTGTGTGTGTTTTGTAAGTTGAAAGAAGTCAAGCAAAGAAGAAAGAAAAATCAATAGAATAATTTTATTCTCCTCCAAATTATTTATCTTGGGCAAAATATTGTTATCAAATTGGTATCAGAGCTAAGATGAGTTTCAATGGAATGATTCCGCTTGTTTCTTTCTAAACTCACCAATGAAAATTATGAGAACTTGTGCATTCAAATGAAGGCTCTATTAGGATCAATAGACTATTTGGATGTTGTGGTGAAAGGCTTCGAAAAGGCTCAAGATGAAGGTGCGCTATCAGCAGCACAGAGATACTCTCTTAAAAAGTCCAGTAAGAAAGATAGTAGAGCCCTCTACTTTATTTACTGAGGAGTTGATGAATCAGTATTCAAGAAGATCTCAGGTGAGACGACCTCAAAACAAGCTTGGAATATACTTCAAAACTCCTATAAGAGAGTAGAGAAGGTGAAGAAGATGCAACTCCAAACACTTTGAAAGGAGTTCAAAGATTAGAGATGGAGGAAAGTGAACTAATTTTGGACTATTTCACTCGAGTCTTAGTCGTAATGAATCAACTTTGGAGAAATAATGAGAAGATCGAAGATGTTCGTGTGGTGGAGAAAATTCTCTGATTACTTCCTCAGAAATTTGAGTATGTTATTTGTGCCATCAAAGAGTCAAAAGATTTGGAGAAGATGACGACTGATGAACTCTTGGGTTCCTTAAATGCCCACGAGAAAGGATTTAGCAAGAGAAATGAGCTGGCAGAGAAGACTCTTCAAACTAAGCTTTCTTTGAAGGATGACCAAGAAGATTCAAAAGAAGGAAGTAACGGCGGTTTTAGCCGTGGAAGATTTTGAGACAGATTTTGAGGCTGAGGACGTGGTTTTGTGGCAGAGGAAGTCACAATAACTTTGAAGAAAGAGATCAAGATCAAAGATCTTTTAGAGGCAATGGACGTGGTAGATCTAATGGAGACAAATCAAAAACACAAGCTCAATGTTTAAATGCAAGAAGTATGGTCATTATGCTTCTGATTGTTATTACAATCAATTTGAAGAGAAGGTGATATGTTGAGAAAGGAGATGATGATAATATTCTTCTATTAGCATTTAGAGGAGACTGTGACAAGGAGGATGCTTGGTATCTTGATACCGATGCCAGCAACTATATATGTGACAAGAGAAGTATGTTCGTCGATATGGACGAACCTGTGAATGATAAGGTCGCTTTTGGAGATTTCTCAAAGATTCTAGTTAAAGGCCGAGGTAAAATTCTTATTCACCTAAAAAATAGAGAAGAAAAATTTATCACTGATGTTTATCATGTGCCCAATATGAAAAGCAATTTATGAGTTTGGGTCAACTCTTAGAAAATGGCTATGATTTTCATACAAAAGATCATAGTCTTTTCTTCAAGATCCAAGAGGTAAATTGATTGTAAAAGTACAGATGTTGAAGAATCGAATATTCATGCTAAACCTTCAAGGAGGAGATGTGAAATGTTTGACGGCTTGTACGAACGATCTTGCTTGGCTATGCCACTTGAGATTTGGGCATCTCAATTTTGACAGTCTGAAGACATTGGCTGATAAAAACATGGTGAAAGGGTTGGCAATAATTGTTCATCTTGAGCAACTATATGAAGGATGTCTAGCGAGGAAGCATCATCGAGCTACAAGGAGGCTTCATTTCATGCCTCGAAGCCGCTACAACTTGTATACACTGATGTGTGTGGGCTAATCACTCCGACCTCAATCGGTAAGAATAGGTATTTTCTTACCTTCACGATGATTTTTCTTAAGGACTTGTGCTTACTTGTTGAAAAACAAATCTGAAGTGCTTTCTATGTTTAAGAAGTTTAAAACTAATGTAGAAAAAGTGAGTGGTTTTATCTTAAAGCTATCAGATCAGGCCGAGGTGGAAAATTTACTTCAAAGGAGTTTGAAGCATATTGTGAAGAACATGGAGTTTGACATTTTCTTATTGCTCCTTACACTTTAAAACAAAATGGTGTTGCTGAGAGGAAGAATCGTACTATTTTGAATATGGTAAGAAGCATGTTGAGTAGTAAGAAAGTGCCTAAACCTTTTGTGTTGAAGCTATTTCTTGCGCCGTCTACATCATCAACCAGTGTCCAACTCAGATTCTCAAAAATACTACTCTACAAGAAGCGTGGACCGGTTATAAACCAAACGTGAGCCACTTCAAGGTGTTCGGTAGTGTTGGCTATGCTCATGTTCCAAAACAGAAGAGGAATAAGTTTAACAAGAGGAGTATTCCATGTGTATTCATTGGCTATGATTCAAGAACCAAGGGTTATAAGATGTATGATCCGTGCAGAAAGAAGTTCATTATTGGTGAGATGTTCAATTCGACGAAGAGAAATCATGGGACTGGAGCATTGGAGAAATTTGTAGCAGCTCGATTACTTTCATTAATGAAGAGATTGAGATCAGAAAAGATGCTCCAGCACATACTCCATCGACATCCACTCTATCATCACCAACCACACCTCAGTCATCTCAATCGATGACTTCTTCAGCATCATCCTCATCATCATCGAGCCCATAACCTCAAAATTTTAGGAGTTTGAGGGACTTATATGAGGTAACTAAAAATCAAGATGATTTAATATTATTTTACTTATTTGCTAGTTTTGAGCCTTTAGACTTTGAATAGGCAGTTCAAGATCCAAAGTGGAGTTTCAGCCATAGATGAAGAGATCAAGACTATTAAGAAGAATGATACCTGGGAGCTTGCAACACTTCCAGAAAGGCAAGAAAGCAGTTGAAGTCAAATGGATATTCAAAGAGATGAAGAATGCGAAAGAGAAGTTGAGAGGCACAAGGCGAGGTTAGTTTCCAAAGCCTACAACCAAAAGGCTGGAATTGACTATGATAAGATATTCTCTTCGGTAGCTTGTCTTGAAACTATAAGGCTGGTTATCGCCTTAGCAGCTCAGAACAAATAGTCAATCTATCAACTTGATGTGAAGTCAGTATTTTTGAATGGTTTTTTTGAAGAGGGGGTTTATGTGGATCAACCTCTTGGTTATATCAAGAAAGGAGAATAATCAAAGGTGTTGAAGTTGAAGAAAGCTATGGCTTAAAACAAGCACTAAGAGCTTGGAATAGCAGAATTGATGAATACTTTCAAGCTCATATTTTTTCTAAATGTCCTTATGAGCATGCCTTATATACTAAGGTAAATGAAACTGGTGATATTCTTATTCTATGCTTGTATGGGGATGATTTAATCTTTATAGGAAATAATCCACACATATTCGAGGAGTTCAAAAGCTCCATGGTTCGTGAGTTTAAGATCACAGACATTGGACTCATGTCTTATTATCTTGGCATCAAGGTGAACCAAAGCCAAGATGGAATTTTTATCTCTCAAGAGGGATATGCAAAGGTAATTCTTGATAAGTTTGATATGAAGGATAGTAATCATGTGACTATTGATGAACATCGAGTCAAGTTGTCTAAGAAAGATGGTGGAAGCAAAGTTGATGCAACTTATTTCAAAAGTTTGGTCAGTAGTCTTTGCTACCTAACTTGCACAAGGCCCGATATTCTCTATGATGTTGGGCTCGTGAGCAAATTCATGGAAGATCTGAAATCTTCACACTTGTTGGCAGCAAAGAGGATTCTCTAGTACATCAAGTGTACAATAGATTTCGGTTTATTTTATTCAAGTTCTAAGAACTTTGGACTTGTTGCATACACTGATAGTAATTAGGTCGGAGATGTTGACGATCGAAAGAGTACAACTGATTACACTTTTTTTTTATCGACGATACTACTTTTACTTGGTCTTCAAAGAAGCAGCCGATAGTCACTCTTTCAACTTATGAAGTCGAATATGTTGCTACATCATCGGGTGTCACTCATGCACTTTGGTTGA